TAAGCACTTACCCACTACCAAGTCAATAAGTGAAAAAAGAACTGTAGTTCATGGTTTGTATTTTTAGAAAACTAAGGATAATAGAAAATCCTAAAAGTTTCTAGAGAAGAAAGAGGTCACACCTAAATTTAGGCTTTAGAATGATACAGAACATCTAGGAGCTACAAGACAGCAGCACATTACCTTCAAATGAGGAAAAATATTTACTACAAATTCTATATTCGACTAGTTCTATATGTCCAACTGTATGTGTTGATAAGAGTGTTTCAGTCATTCAGTGTTTTAAAACAGTCCACATTCCTTTGACCAGAAAATCACTGGAATATATGCTCCACTTAATCTGGGGAGTAAACTGTTATAAAACAAACAAAAAGATCTGGCAACCTGTCTAGCATAGGAGAGATAAGAGGAAGAGGAAATTCCAGAGAGGAAGGGAAGAGACATAACCTGGCTAGCTAGTTGTCAGTGGTTCAGCAACCTAAAGCACAAATAATCCAGGTTTGAATGTGAGTGATCCCTGAGGAGTGTCTCTAAGATTGTGGCTGATCTGTCACCTGAGGGGTTTGAGATGGTGATGAGATTTCTGGCTCTGGTGGGGATTTTGAGAGTCATTCAGTGAAAATACATAGCAAATGGTGGGGGGAATCATGGAAGAGAGAGAAAAAAATGGAAGGGAAGAAGGGAAGATAGGAGCAAAGAAAGAAGTAAGAGATATTAGTAATTGCTAGTTTCAGGGAAATGAAATTATACAATAAAGGAAATTTAATTATATCATTCCAATTTTGGGCTATGTATATTGTTTACTTAGTAATAGCACTGTTTGAGCTGACTATTGATTTAGAGAAAAATGATGACTCACGTTGGGAGGACTGGGGAAGGAAGAGAAGCATGTATTGGGAAAGAGGTATTAACTTTTAAAATCATGTTTCTAGGGGATGGGGTTTAGCTCAGTGATAGAGTAGTTGCCTAGCATTCAAGAGGCATTGCAAAAACCAATTAGAAAATCAATTCTATATAGATATGTGTGTGCATATATATGTATGTATAACAAGTAAAAAATTAAGTATTTAAGAAACAGATTAGTAGTGAGAACATGGAGGTAATGGGGCATAGTTTATTCTTAATAATTTGGGTTGTAAAAGCCAGGCATGGTAGTACATATCTGTAAGCCCCACACTGTAGAAGCTGAGGCAGAAGGATTGCAAGACTGGCTCCATACCTACACAAAATCAGGGTGTTTAGAGTATTGCAATTGCCCCCCCCCAAAAAAAAATAAGACAGTCTCCAAAATACAGATGAGTTGAGATGGATTTACTAGAAAGGGAGAAAGAATGAGCTCAACAGAAAGAATTCTTGATATAGGAAGCTCCCACAGGAGCTAGGACGGCAGAAAAAGCAAATTTAGGATACTCATCTGGCCTTGCAGACAAGTAGAAAGGGCAGAAATTGAATAAGCAGGAAGGTTTCAATGCCTAGTATGAGAAGAATAAAAGAGAAGGGGCATTAGTCAAGACATTATTAGACGCTGTCATCCTGTGGGATAGACAAGGGCTCCGTGTTTTGGAGACTGGAAAAGGGAAGTAGTTGGGTAAAGTCCTTCCTCAGGTACTTAGTTTGGGGAGTAGGGATTTGGCAAGTGTGCTAATGAATGGAGGCCTATCTGGGAGGGCTGTGTTCCATTGACTAGAAGCAGACAAAGATTGCATTGTTTCTTCCCAGGCTTGCGTCCAGGGTGAAATAGGTACACACAGGGTCAGGGCTGCTGGAGGTCTCCTAGAGAGAGCCAAGGGAGCTTGGAGAAGGTCACCTGACTCTTCCTAGAAAAGATAACTTGGAAACCACCTTTGAAGTTGAGTAGAATGACACCCCAAAAAAGAGAAGAGGGGGCTTCCAGGCAGTGCCAGGTGCTGAGATAGGAGTACAGAGCGGAAGTCACCTGCATGCTTTCATGAAGGAACCAGCTCTGTTGCTTTCTCCAGTTGCGCTCTGCCGTCCAGGGCAGTAGAGAAACAGGTTGGCAAGGTGGGAATATCCTAAGAGCATGTCTGTGAAGAGCAAATCTAGGATGCTGAGAGGAGACTCATGGTGTCTGTCATCGAAGGATGCAAATAGACTCTAGAAGAGAACCTATGGACGGTTACAGTTCCAGTGGAAGGGTGGAGTAGCAGAGGCAGTGAGGTTAAAGTCAGATTGCAGGATTTTCCTCTTTTCAGCATGGACTGAGGTGTATAGGGGAACCTGTTGCTGGTAAGGCCCAGAGCCCAGGCCTGCCCATTGCCTAGCTGAAGTGGGAAGCAGCAGGCTAGCTTTCTGCCTGGCTGGGATAGGTCTACGCAGTGTCTGAATTCCTTTAGGGCTATTGAATGCTCTGCCCAGGCCATATGCATTGTATTCCCACTGCATGGTAAATGAACATGGGAATGGAATATTTGCATAGACTTTACACACCAAACATCCCTAATCTGAAAACCTGAAATCCCAAACTTTGGATACCAACATATGATTTTCAGATTAGAGACTTAAACTGTATATGGTTAAGATTGCATATAGGCTGAAGCAGGATGATTGCTAATTCCAGGCCAGCCTGGGCTACACAGAAAGATCTTGTCCAAACACATACCAAAAAGACTTTCTCCTCTTCTTTCTCCCAGGGAAGAGGGCTGAGGCCTAGCCCCTCCCAGCCCTCTGGGGCAGGACTTTGATACTCCCAATTCGGCTGGCTAGTGCTTTGGCCAGCCGACCTGGCACCTGCCACCCAGAGGCTCAAACCTGAAGGATCTGTGAGTGTAGGTGACAAAGTACTATACTTGGAAACAGTGGCTTCAAGAGGTGTTATCCAGAATGACACGACATGACTACAAACTTCCTGTGCTGTTTGTGTGGTCAGCATTTGATCTAAAGAAGTAAAAGAATAAAATATACCTGGGACAGCACATGAACAACAGATGGGAAATAATTACAGATTCACAACCATCACTCAGCAGTAGTCTTTGAATGTGTTTTACACACTTGGAATGAATGAACGAATAAAAATGACTCTGTATTTGTACAGCTCTCCCTGTTTATTATTTCTCATCCATGGATTCAACTGACTGCAGATTGAAAATAATTGGGGAGAAATAATGAACTGCAACTATGGCTCTTTGCGAGGCCCTGGGTTCCAGCCCAGCATCATCAAACAAAGAAAAAATTCGGAAACAACTATATCATGTTTAGATTTTTAAAATCACTATTCCATAAACAGTACAGTAAAACAACTGTTTATATAACATTTATGAGATTGTTTGAAGTATATGGAAGAATGTATGTAGGTCATTTACAAATTACTACATCATTTTGTATTAGGGAATTTGGGCATCCTCAGATCCAGAGAGGTTAATCCTGGAAACAATACTCTGTGGATACTGAGGGATATTTATGTTCTTTTTTTGACTTGCTTCTCTCATCAGTGTTACATTTTTGAAACTCAACCAGATTGAGGTATATAGCTGTGTTGATGGGTATTAGCTTCTATATTTCTTTTGTAAAAAACAATACATCCTAACTACTCAGGAGTCTTAAGATCTACAGATCCTGGTTTGAAGCCAGCCCAGGCAGGAAAATCTGTGAGACTCCACCAGAAAGTTGGATGTAGAAATGTGGCTCAAGTGGTAGAGTGCTAGCCTTCAGTAAAAAGGAAAAAAAAGTTCAGGGCTAGATGCTGGTGGCTCATACCTGTTATCCTAGCTACACAGGAGGAAGCTGAGATCTGAGGATCAAGGTTCAAAGCCAGTCCTGGGCAGAAAGGCCCTGGAGACTCTCATCTCCAACTAATTATTTAAAAGCTGGAAATAGAGCTGTGATTCAAGTACTGGAGCACTAGCCTTGAGCAAAAGAAGCTCAGGGACAGCACTCAGGCCCTGAGTTCACACTCCAGGATCAGCACTGGGGAGAAGAACGAAGGAAGGAAGGAATATCTATATATTTGCAAAATTTCTTTGGATGTATACTTAGAAAGGAATTTGCTGCTCTATGTTCAAATATACTAGATAGGGAAAACTTTTTCAAAGCATTTGTACTAGTTTGCCCTCCCACTAGGAGTAAATGAGAGTTGCTATTGTTTTGAAATACCTTTGTGATTTTCATTCAAATTCCTTGACTGGTAAGAGAGTAAGCAGCTTTTCATATGTTTAAAGGACATTATGTGAACCTTGTACTCAGTTATTTTGCAGACTTTTCTTAGGTTGACTTGTTCTCATTGTTTTGTTTTTTTTTTTGGGGGGGGTCCAGTTGTGGGGCCTGAACTCTGGGCCTGGGTGCTGTCCCTCAGCTCTTCAGCTCAAGGCTAGCACTCTACCACTTGAGCCACAGCGCCACTTCCGGCTTTTTTCTTTTTCCTTATGTGGTGCTGAGGAATCGAACCCAGGGCCTAATGCAAGCAAGGCAAGCGCTCTACCACTGAGCCACCTTCCCAGCCCTTCTCATTGGTTTTTAGTCATTCTTTTCAATTCTGGATCCTTTTTTTTTTTTTTTGTCGGTTGTGGGGTTTGAACTCTGGGCCTGGGCGCTGTCCCTCAGCTCTTCAGCTCAAGGTGAGCGCTCTACCACTTGAGCCACAGCGCCACTTCTGGTTTTCTGGTGGTTTGTTGGAGATAGGAGTCTCATGGTCTCTCCTGCCTGGGCTGGCTTTGAACCGTGATCCTCAGTTCTCAGCCTCCTGAGTAGCTAGGATTACAGGCGTGAGCCACCAGCGCCCAGCTTCAATTCTGGATCCTAACCCTTTGTCTCGGCAACATGTGTTGCAAGTCAACATGCTTCCTTCAATTCGGCAAACCTGGTTACCAAAGAGAAGGGCCTTAAACAACAGGGAAGGAAAGCCATAAGCCCAGGTGTCTGTTGTAGGCACTGTAGTGACATTGCTCTGTGGGTGTGTCAGGCACGGAGCCGGCATCTGGAGCGAGTCTTGGTTACATCTTGGTTCCCGACTGCTGCTGACCTATGTATGGTGCTTGCCTTTGCAGGTGGAACAGGAGGATTTTGTAATGGAAGGGCATGGCAAGACTCCACCTCCTGGTGAAGAAAGCAAACAGTGAGTCACAGTTTATTTTAAAAGGGTCCTATTACAGATCCTCACAAGCACTTTGATTCAATGCGCTTGAGATCCTGTTTGCCTGGGATGCATACGTTGTGGAACATACCAGTTCCTTTGGTGGTGGTTAATGCATTGCTTCTATTTATAGGCCAACTAACTGGAGGGACAAGAAAGTTGGCTTTGTAGTTTTTTACATTTGACTAATCAAAATTTATGTTATGCTAAGCAAAGGCTTTAAGACTTGGGATATTCCAAATTGAACTAATTCAGTTTAGTTGTTTTTCAAAGAAAATATAAAATTGTGCATCTTTTCATAGCAATGTCTTCATGAAGTGAACTAAATTAATAGACTTTTCCTCACATTCCAAGTGTGAATTTATTTGTATAGTACTTCCTGAATTCTATTCCAGTGGTTATTTATACTTCTGATCATTGTTTAAATAACAAATCGCTTCCTAACAGAACAGGAATTATAAATAATACAACTTAGCCAACATTCTAAATAATTCAGGGTATCTCCTCTGACTTTTTAAAGGGTGATTGGTTTTAAACTTGATTTTGGAAACTGCTGGGTAGCTTTTTCATGGCAGTGGGTAGATCTTTTTTTTTCCTCTGTCATAGAATTTGAAAAATTGTGCTGCAGAATAGACTGGTTTTTCATATGCCCTTTTAAAGGAAAAACACTTAAGATTGGCTTAAAGTACTGACATGCCTACTATTTTTTTATTTAGTCAGTAGTCTCCTGAATTGAATAGGATCATAATTCATGGAATTTACTGAAAATCTGTAGAGAGAGAGTTCTTTCCCTTATCTTTCCCTCTCTCCCTTGAAAATAGTTTAATTTTGGTCTGTCTTGAGGAAATGATGCCTCTGGAACACTTAGGAATGAATTTTGTGGGATAGATTGTGCTGGCCAGGTTGAGAATGGCTTGTCTTGAGTTTGCAGTGAATGGAAACCAGGTTATTTTCACAGCCGGTTTAATTTGCTAACCTAGCAGTTTTAAAAATAGCTCACAATATAAATCCTAACTTTGCCGTCTTCTGTCTAATGCATTTATATTTTAGATGAACTGATGGAATCAATTCATCTTTAGCAAATTAGAATGCCAGACATCTGTCTGCTCCCAGTGAGACTGAAATAAGAGGAGAAGTACTTACAGAGCTTGCACCATCCTCCCCTTACACTACTCCAAGGTCTTGTAACTTAGAAGTTAGAGCTTCATTTGTCAAAAGCTTTCTGTACATAGATAGTTTGGTTAGATAACTTTATAATCTATCATCTCTACTCCTTAAAGCATATTGTCTCAATTTTACTCAGATTAGAGTGGGAAACTTGCCCACGGTAATGCATTTTGAACTGAAAGTTAGGATTTGAACCCTGATACTGCTGACTTTAAGGTGTTTTGTAGTGTCACTCTGTCAAATCCTTTCCCTCCCCTACAGTGTTCATAAAAAGTGCTGTAGTTAGCAAAGCTGCAGCTGTCCGGGTCACAGCCTCATAAGTAGAAGGGAGTTGGGAGAAACAGTGAAAATGGCACTAAGCCCATCTTGAAGACACAGATGAAAACTCCATTCTCCAGAGAGTGTCCATTTCCCAGACAACCTGCTGATTGTCTTTAAAGCCCTGCTCTAGTAACCCCTGTTCTGAATCAGCTTCTATAGGTACTCAGGAAACATTGCAGGGTGAGATTCTACCCAAGCTCTATGTTGTACATCCGGTGTGTCCTGCAGAGTTTCCAGCAGCCCTGTGGGACCTCAACATCTGTGTAGTGTCTTTATTTGGCTCTTAGAAACCTCCTATGACCTACTCTTTGCATAAATGAATTCTGCTTTGGTTTGGAGAGTTGTGTTTTGTTCTGTTGGTGCAAAGGATAGAATCCTGGGGCCTGGGTTGCTAAGCGAGCATTCTCTCACTAACCTATATCTCCAACTCCTGCTTTTTTGGGGAGGGAATGAAGTCTCCTATCTCATAGCAAAGTAATAAAGCAAAAATGCATCTTCTCACTACGTATTCCTCCTCTGGACCTGCGAGAGTGGGAAGCAAAAGATTTGTGTTCTTTTAATTTTATGTATATGTGTGTGGGAGGGGGGAAGGGTACTCATCCTAGTACTCATCCTGGGTGCTGTCCTCCAGCTTTTTGTGCTCAAAGCCAGCAGTCTTAAGCCATAGCTCCACTTTCATCTTTTTCTGAGGTTATTTGGGGATGAGTCTCATGGACTTTCCTGCCCAGGCTGATCCTCAGATCTCAGCCTCCTGAGCAGTTGAGTCACAGATTCCTGGCAGACTTTTAATTTTTTCAAAAAGTTAATTTTTTTGCAGTGCTAAGAATTGAACCCATGGCCTTACACATACTAGACAAGTAGTATTTACCAGTAATACTGAGTTACGTTCCCCAGTACTAAACTTTTTTGTGTTTGTACTGGAGCTTTTATTTATTTATTTGTCAGTCATGGACTTGAACTGGGTCTGGGCGCTGTCCCTCAGCTCTTCAGCTCAAGGCTAGAGCTCTACCGCTTGAGCCACAGAGCCACTTCCAGTTTTCCAGTGGCTAATGGGAGATAACAGTGTCATGGACTTTCCTGCCTTGGCTGGTTTTGAACTGCGATCATAGGTGTGTACCACTGGCATTGACTTTTTGTTCTTTTTTAGCTTTCTGGGTTTTTTTTTTTTTTTTTTCCGGAACTGAGGACTGAACTCAGGGCCTTGCACCTGCCCGGTGCTCTTCCACTGAACTAAATCCCCAACCCCTTTACTGAAGCTTTAAACTTAGGACCTTGAGCTCTGCCTTGGCTCTTTCACTCAGGACTAGCACTCTGCTGTTTGAGAGATATCTCTACCTCTGGCTTTAAAAAAAAAAATCAGGGCTGGGAAGGTGGCTCAGTGGTAGAGCGCTTGCCTTGCATGCCTGAGGCCCTAGGTTCGATTCCTCAGCACCACATAAGCAAAAAGAAAAAAGCCAGAAGTGGTGCTGGGCTCAAGTGCTAGCCTTGAGCTGAAGAGCTGAGGGACAGCGACCAGGCCCAGAGTTCAGGCCCCACGACCGGACCCAAAAAAAAAATCATTTGGCTGGGTGCCAGTGGCTCACGCCTGTAATCCTAGCTACTCAGGAGGCTGAGATCTGAGGATTGCAGTTTAAAGCCAGCCCGGGCAGGAAAGTCCGTGAAACTCTTTATCTCCAATAAACCACCAGAAAACTGGAAGTGACGCTGTGGCTCAAGTGGTAGAGCACTAGCCTTGAACTGAAGAGCTCAGGGATAGCGCCCAGGCCCAGAGTTCAAGCCCCATGACTAAAAAAAAAAATCATTTGGACATAAGGATCTCAGATTTATCTGAGTAGACTTCTGCACATAGGTATGTACTGAACCACAATCCTCAGATTTCAGCCCCTTGAGTAGCTAGGATTACAGATGTGAGCCATCAGTGCCCAGCAAGCTTTATTTTTTATTTTCTTGTCTAGTGACTATTGCTAAAGTTTATATACATTGAACCCTGATTGAATCCTGGACAGGAGATCTATGAGTGAATACTACACAGTAGGATCTAGAAGTGACACATTCCTACTAGGACTTATAAGATTACCATTATCTTTTTTAAGATTAACGAAGTAGTACCCATGGAGAGAAAAGTGCGACTCTTTTCTTACCTTCCTTCCCTTTTAACCTTCCTATTTCAAGACAGATAGATTAGTTTTGTTTTTTTGAGGCAAGATCTCTAGAGCTCAGGCTGGTTTATAAAACATTTTTTTAGCCCAGGCTGGCCTTGTACTTGATATCCTCCTGCCTCTTCTGTCATATGGTAATTCAGTCACAAAATACAGAGAAGCCGCTGGGCGCTGGTGGCTCACGCCTGTAATCCTAGCTACTCAGGAGGCTGAGATCTGAGGATCGCGGTTCAAAGCCAGCCCGGGCAGGAGAGACCGTGAGACTCCTATCTCCAATAAACCACCAGAAAACCGGAAGTGGCGCTGTAGCTCAAGTGGTAGAGCGCTCGCCTTGAGCTGAAGAGCTGAGGGACAGCGCCCAGGCCCAGAGTTCAAGCCCCATGACCGACAAAAAAAAAATACAGAGAAGCCACATTTTGATTGGTCAAATTGGGAGTCTTTATTAGAAAGACAGTGACTGTGTATGGAGACATGTCCCCCTAAACTTGCATCCTTGAATACTCAATATTGTTAGGAAACTGAGCCATGGGGGTAGCTGAATAAAGAAAGAACAACAAAAAAAAAAACCCTATCTCAACCAAGTAGATCAGCTAATAGAGAGCTGAAGAAGGATGGCATGGTGACCTGAGAAGGGTCAGGAGATCTGAGACACAGTGCAAAATAGCAGCTGAGGTGGTGATGGGGTGCCAAATAGGGTCATGGTCAGGGGACAGGGTCACAGGGAGCTCAAGAGAGTACTTGGGATAGGTCTGACAGGTCCAGTAATCTATTGTCTAAGTCCCTACTCCTGCCTTTAGGAATTCAGACCTGCTGCCCATCACCTGGGGGTGGTACTTCACCTTCCATGTACCAAAAAGCCAAAACGATGCCAGTTAGACCCAATTCCTTATTATCTACTACATTATCAAGATGGCATCAGTTAGACCCAGTATCCTTATTTCACTACCTCCCACGTGCTGGGATTACAGAAACGTATCACCAAGCCTGGTTGAAAACAGGTAGAGTTTTTCCCCCAATATAATTCTGAGACTTGCTTCTGTAATTTGATATCTTTTATAGTCTCATTCTTTTAGACTCAATTTAATTGAGCTGTCACTTACATTTGTGTATGGTATGAGGTAGAATTCTAGTTTACTTCTTTTCCAAGTTGATTTCCAAAATGGCTAGCATTCATTTTTTATTTTTATTTATTTATTTTTGTTGGACCTGGGGCTTGAACTCTGGGCCTGAGCGCTGTCCCTCAGCTCTTCAGCTCAAGGCAAGCACTCTACCGCAAGTGCTCTACCACTTGAGCTACAACGCCACTTCCAGTTTTCTGGTGGTTTATTGGAGATA